AGTATAAAAAAGGTAAATACAATTTTGCTTTAATGCTTTAATGCTTACAAATAATAATACAATTAGTGTTGTGGAAGAATTTGATATTATTAATAAAAAATGAAAATTTATCAGAATAGTTTTTCCCTTTTTCAGTTTTAATTTAAATTAGTAATGATAGTTAGGAAATACTATCATTCCATGTCTTCATTAATTCACTTCATTTCATTAATTAAATCTTCATTACTTCATTAATTAAATTAAATGAGAAATAATACCGTTGAAAATTTTTCGTGTTTTAACAAAAATACGAATTTCTTCATCAAGACATTCAATATCTGGATCTCCAATGATATCATTATCAATCGTTATTGTTACTGCACAATCCATCACTAGTAACAATATCTTAAAAATATGTTTATCTATAGCTAAGATATAAACAAAGATAGTATACAGATATTTATTTACTTATTTACAATGGAAACACAAACAAAGATAAACAGTATGTGAACAAAAAGAATATTAGAAGCATACTTTAAAGAAAATTTATTGAATAATTAGCTAATTAAAAGTTAATAAAATTATTCCTTCCTTTTTTTCTCATTTTCTGGAGAATCCGACTTTATACATTTTTCTGGAGAATCCGACTTTTATAATATTTTATAATTTATTCAGCAAATTTTACCGTTGCTAGCGTTTCTATGAGAAGATAATAATTCATCGCTGTCTTTCATAACATAATGATTCCGGAAATCTTCCTTATGATTGATATATTTCCTGATATATATATATATGTATTAAAAAAGCGAACAATTTGATTTTCTCTTCTTTTAGATTTTGAAGCCTTATAACGATTATTGATGGATTAAAATTGTTCTATTATATTATAATAATTATGTGTGAAGAAAAACATACTTAAAAAATGATAGAATGAATAAGTGCATTAAATTATTTGTTTGTTAAAGCCAATCGAAATGATCGAATACTAAATTAAATCATCATAGCTTATCATAAAATACAA